AGCATCCTTAACATCCACAACAGAGGACTCATCAGGACTCATCAGATTACTTAACTGGGCTTAAAAGTGTATAAGGGCTTGCTACCACGGGGTCTAAGTCTCACACTATTTCACTGACAGCTCTGACATCTTGTACCAGCCTGTGTTCATTAGTATGTGGCTCCTTTACTGGCAGGAGAGGAGTCCTATATTGTGGCTCATATGCCCGCAGTGATCCATCTTGCAAAACTTAGTAATTCATTCCTCCAACCCTCTTCTCGCTTCTGACTTCAAAGAATAATTTTTTTCTGCCCAACCAGTTGCCCATCAGGCTCAGACAGAATCCTTACTGGTTCCACTGCTTTGATTTCCCTGGAATTCCATTGGTCCACATCAACACAGTGACAGTGTTTTTCACCTCCTCTGTCATTCTCTCTACTGCATTTGGTTGCATTTTAACAACACAAAGAAAACTCGAGCCTCCAGAGCTTGAATTTCAGAAAAGCATAGTTGTATTTGTCAATTTTCAACTATTGTTTGTGAATTTAATTGACTCAAAATATCTCTTCCTAACAAAGGCATTGGGCATTCAGGCATCTACTGAAACTGATTCATTAACCACTCCCTACCTGTCTTGGATTTTAAGGGTTGTAATAAAAATGGCATATTTTAGCTCTTCCTGGGGGCACCAATGACATTTACAGTATCTTGGCTAAGGTTCCTTTATGTGTATATGGTACAGAAGAAGCTGCCCCTAGATCCACCGGAAAAATCTACCTGTGTCACTCCCCAGTGTCAGGGTCCCCAGGGTTTCAGGTGGGGATGACTCTCCTGGTTCCCTCCATGCTACATCTAATGTTAAAAGACTTGTGGCCCGGTCAGGAGGTGCCTGTTTGTTCCTGGCCGGTCACACTTCCAATGATTCCCCCTGTTTCTCTCTTGCCCCCTGATTTCTACCCAGAGGCCGATTGTCAGAGCCCCCCCTCCCTGGGTGTCTCCATCTCTTGTTCTGTAACTCGCCCTTGGCCTTCGGGCTCAAAAACGCTTTTAGGAGTTTCCTATTCCTGCTTTCCTTGATATTGTTGACATTATTCTATACTTCCTGAGCTCTTTACTATAATCTGTTCAGGTACCTAGAATCTACCCCTTGCAGTCTCTGAAGCTTCTTTCTAATATCTGGAGCCAGTTGTCCCAAAAATACTGCTGCTAACTGTAATGCATCTCCCTCCCTTTCAGGGTGCAGGTCCCTGTACTTTCTGGCCACGCCATAGTGAGTCACTGGTGAAAATCAGAAGGGCATTCATCTTTTCCTTGAACCTCTTGATATAACTTTGACATATCCATAGCTTTCGGAATAGCATGTTTTATCCCAAACATAATTAATCTTTGATATCCAGTCAATAACTGTCTTTGAGCCATGTTCTTTGGATCCCACCAGGGATGTGCAGGAGGGAAATACTGATCCAGGGTTCCTTGCTGAACATTCTGAGCATGTCCTCTCTCAACCTCTTCCCCCACTTTTGCCATTACCACAATTCCCACACCTGCAGTTAAAGGTGGGTCTGAAAATGCCTTACTGAAATCCCAGGGGTCTTTGCCTTGAACTCACTGGATTAGGGCATTGGAGGATCTCCCTGAAAAATCTTTGGAGTGCACTGGAGTCCTCTCGATCCTCTGAATCCATGGAGAAAAGAAGGAGCATGGTTCCATCTGGGTCACGAAAAACGGTCTCCAAAACCAGGATAAATGAAATCCTCAAACAGGATCATTTTAGTATTAGCGAGTTAGGCATTACTTTGTGCTGGTAAGGGTGTGTGGAGCAGATAGTTGCAGCCACACACACGCACAAAACTTTTCACTTAGTTATCTGTTGCTAGCAAACAAAGAAATCAATGGTCATCCATTCTCAATTACATAATTCTCTTCATTAGTTAGTGTTTTAACCTCTGTTGGTTAGAGCTTTCTTGCTTCTCATCTTAATTAGCACACATTTCTCTGACTCTTTATTATCTTTTCCCAAGGCAGTGAGTTATCCCGCATATATAAAATTGCCTTTATTAATCTCTTCATTGTTGTCCTAGTTTAGGGCAAATTTGGGGAAAACCCTCTGAAAGGAGCCCCCAGAAAACAAACCCCCACGGCCCCTCCCCACCCACTTGGTTCAGGAAAAAAATTTCCTCTGAGAGAGAAGTTGAAAAGAACCTGTTTATTCAACGAACAAAGCACTCCCCAGCACCAAAACAATTAACACCAGATGACAACAAAACTCTTTCACCACTCTGAAGAGATGAACAAATCCAGAGAGTCTTTCCTTGGAGTGGTCGCCCTGGCCTGGACGCTGGGGATTGCTCTCCAGCACTGGGGATGGCTGCTGCAGATCACAAAATGCAAGCTCCTGGTGTTCCTTGGTGTTTCCCAGATCCCAGTCTGGAGCAGGCTGGATGGTATTCAGGAAGAGGAAAGGAAAAGCAACAGTCCAGGGAAAGAATTGGACTGCTTAGCTAACCTAACTAGGAAGCAAAGGCAAAAGCAGAAGCAAACAAAACAAGCAAGCAAGCAAAGCAAAAGCCAGCCAGCCAGCACTAGCCTTTTCTAGACCATGGGGGAAGGTGAACCAGCTGATAACAAGGCAAAACAAACCTTCACTTTCAGAGTCGGTTCTGAAAGCACAGAACATATCAAACGAAAACAGAACACACGATTGGAGATACAAACACCATTACGTCACCCTAGGACAATTGTCTAATGGTCTCAGCAGAAACACATTGGTGGCCTATAAACCCTGCATTTCACATGTCCACTTTGCAGCTTTGTTCACTGAAGCTCTTAAGTGTTAGTTTAGCAAAACTAAAAGGTTCCCTGATTTTCCGAATCAAAGTCTAATAATAACACCCTCTGGAAATAAGTTTAGCTAACAGTTGGCCAAGAGTTGAACTTACACCGCTAAAGATTAATTTTAAAAACTAATTAAAAGTTATAAAATTGCAAGCTCGATAACCTGCTGTAGGGCTTTGAAGCAGGAAGGACTAGGGGTGAACAGAGCACGTTTTGGAAAAGGGGCAGATGGGGGTGGATGGCAGGTGTTGGAGGGAAGAACTTGGTTTGTCTTCCCCCACAGTCTTGGGGGCGTTAGGAGGAGAAAAAATTTCATTGTCTTCTTTATGGACTGTCAAGCTGACATAAAACCTGACTTGGAGGAAAATGTACAAAGGCTTCACCCAGGGAAACTCTTTGCACTGAATTCCTGAGGAGAAAGGAGTCTATGCCCCAACAACACTAAAGTTCAGCGAGGGGCTCACGGGGTTCCTCCTGCCCAGAAGCTTCTTGGGGGATCCCTCTCTTGGTGAAGAAACAAACATCAATGGACCCTTTGGGCTTCACCTGGGCCTTTGTGGTTGTTGCGGTGCCCAACCCGTGGTCACTCACACTGACAGTTCACTGCACAGCAAAGCCAGGCTTAGTGCCTGCTCCATGGTGCAGGAAGAAACTAAGAACATGAGATGCCACAGACGGGACACTGACACAGCAGATGAACAACTGGCTGAGCTGTAACTCAAGTCTTAAACGGATTAAAAAAAAAATAGTGAGGCCTCTCCTGTCCTGCGAGACTTTTGAGCGCTCTTCAGTCACTAAATGGCTCCAAATGGGCTGGAGAGGGACTTGGCATAAGGGCCATGAACGACAGAACAAGGGGAATGGCTTCACACTGTGAGACAGCAGGGTTATTGGAAAGAAAATCTTCCTGCGAGGGTCACGATGCCTTGTCACAGGTTGCCCAAAGAAACTGCGTCTGCCCCATTCCTGAAAGTGTCCGGGGTCGTTTTGGATGGGACTTGGAGCAACCTGGTGTTGTGGAAGGTGTTCTGCCCATGGCAGGGGATTGGAAAGGGAGGATCTTTGAGGTCCCTTCCAGACAAAGCCATTCCATGACTCTATGACTTCATGAGTCTGTGACCCTGTAGCTCCCAGGTGTGAGGTGTGCAGCCTGGCAACGGGAATTGTGATGAAAAGGGGCGTGAGCAGAGCAGGCTCCAGTCCTCTGAAGGACACGGAGGGAGGAAGGAGCCTGTTGGCTACTTATCCTTTTTATTATTGCTTTTGCTGACCCCTGACAGACCCAGCTGGGCAGGAAGGCTTGTGACCAAGCAGGGACTGACTGTGTGCAGACATGGCAGCATCCCTGGACACACTCAGCCTCTCCCAGATGCTGGATCTCGCCATCGGGACACCCCAGAAGGGGATCATTCACTTTGCAGCCATGCGAAAACTGCTGCGGGCCGTGCTGGAGCACCTGGACGTGCAGTACCTGACCAGCCAGGAGCCGTGGCCGGGCCAGCTGAGTGGCCCCTCACTTGCTGATGTGGCCACTGACATGGCAATGATGAAGAAAGAGATGGAAGACTACAAGAAGCACATGTCCAAGGTAGAGGCTCTTCCCAGCCCCCGGGGCACTCCCCCAGCAGACAGCCCCTCCCCGCTTCCTCAGACAGCACTGCTTGGCACTGCCCTCACTGCCCCGGCACAGCCCCTGGCAGGGGCTCTTTGCCACCTGGATGGGCTTCAGTGCTCTGGCACCGAGCTGGGCTGGGGCAGGTGGCACTGGGACTCTCCCTGCCCACCTGGATTGCCACGGGCTGCCCGTGGCAGGGTGGGGCTCTTTGGGGTGTTGCTGTCCTGGCCATCACCCCTGACATCCCTGTTGGTTGGACTGTTCCATAGGTTCTTCGTGAGGAGTTTGGTGGGATAAAGGCAGAACTTTCCCACCTCTCCGAGGACATGAAGAAGTTCCAGGAGAGACAGGTCTGTGCAGACCACTGTGGTAGTGAAGGTTGTTTTCCTCACAGACACTCCACAACTTGCATCTCTCACCATTTTCTCTGACAGTCCTACATGGCACGGGAATTAAAGAAGATCCAGGAGATGCAGGACGAGGTGAAGTGCTGCTGGGGGCAAGTTTTGGGTCTGAGACAGCAGCCTGGACCCTCGGCCCTGCTAGCTGAAGGCTCAGTACCCTTGGCCCTGCCAGATGCATGGACCGTGCTGCCTGCAGAGCCCTGCCAGCCTGGCTGAGCCCGGCCCTGTGCTGTCCCCCGGGCCCCACAAATCACAGCAGGGGTCAGGGCCTTGCAGGTGCCCACTGACCCTCCCACAGGCTCACTGCCACCACTCCTCTCTCCTAGGACATGGCTCTCATCCGGGATCTCCAGGAGGAGATGGACAGGATAAAGTCAACACAGATCCGCATGGAAGGAGACGTAAAGAAGGTTAAGGAGTCGCTTCCCATAGTAAACTGTTGGGTTGTGTAATCTTTAGGCTCTCATGGGGAACATCAATGTGATTCCAAGAGCAGGGTTTGGGATCAGGGTCTCAGGACCAGGTGGAAGAACCTGGGTCTCCCCAGTGTAGCTGACGGGCCCTCACGCTGGGACCACAGGATGTCTGTGCCCTGACTCTACCATCACTGGCTTTCCAGATGAAGAAGCTGGAGGAGGACCTTAAAAAGCTGAGGGAGGATGCAACCAAGTGGAAAGAAGAGAGCAGCAATGAGATCTCTCAGCAAATTGAGTAAGAGGACAGGAGTGGGTTTCATACCCTGTGGTACTGCAAGGGAGCCCAGGGGGTCTGGCAGCATCCTGGTTTGCAGGCACAGCACAGTGCCCTGCAGCCCTGCAGGGGAAACCCTGACTTGTCCCCATCCCGCTGGCCAGGGCTTTGCGTCAGGACACAAAACGTGAGCTGCAGAAGATGGGAGAGCAGCAGGAGAGGAGGAATGCCATGCTGGAGGAGATGGTGACTGAGACAGCCAACCAAGTGAACGAGCAGGTGAGGTCCTGGGGGAGCACTCCCAGCACCCCTGGCTTGGTGCCCGAGTCCTGCAGGGGTTCCTGGCCATATTCTCTGACTGGCTGGGGCAACCTGGCACTGTTGATTCTATTCATCCCACCACTGAGCCAATTTCTTCTGCCAGTCCAGCAGTTTGGCATTACAGGAGAGACAACATCTGGCCTAGGGGAGGAGCTGGAAGAGAGGAATGGAGACTGCTCCAGCTGCACTTTCAACATCTGAGCATATTTGGGGAAGCTCCTCCTGCGCTACGAGAAACTCCAGGAGAAGGCAGAATCCCTGGAGTCCCGGCAGATGCCCAGGGGAAAGCTCAAGAAAATGATGAAGAATTGGGGACAGGTAGGCTGTGGGCAGTATGGGGGACTGAGGACATCCCCCAGCTGGATGTGCTGTAGTCTGGGGGAGGCTCAAACTGCCCAAATTGGCCTGGACCGGTCAGCCACATGGACGCAGATTAAAGCCTTGATGCAAAGGTCCTGTTGATTCTGAGAGCTCATGGCCACAGGCCGAGAAATGCTGGTCTGCCCCTGTGGAGCAGCCGGACTCCCTTTTGTTCAGTGCCATGTTTTTCCTTCCCTGAAGCTGGAGCATGACCATGAGCGTCTGCACTACATGGAGGAAACACTTGTACGGATGAAAGAAGACTGTGAGAAGCTCAGCTTTGTTTCTGGGAGCCTGCAGAAAGACGCTGAACAAAAGCAGAAAGCGATCAAGGTGTGTGGCCGAAGCTCCTGTGGTGCCAGAGCATTCCCAAGGCTCTTGTTGTGATTCCATGCAGGGAACACAAGAATGTCTCTGGCTGAGACTTTCAGCACTGTGCTGGTTGCAAGTGCCTTTCCTCAAGGCTTTTGGGCAAGGGAGTGGGTTGTGTTCTCCTGGCCAGGAGGCAGCTCCAGCCTTGCTGTGGTGTCACGGGTTCCTTTCTGTACTGAAAGATGCTGTTCCAGTCTCTGGAGAAGGTGCAGAAAGAGAAAACAGATGAGCAGGACGTGATGGCAGCAGTGGAAGTGGTACAGTCTCAATGGGCCTCTCTGCCAGCCCAAGGGTTTCCAGGCAGGGTGCCAAATGCCCCTTGTCCCTTGGGGGCTGGGTTGCCATACTGGCCTGGGGAGGGAGCATTTCCCGAGCATGTCCCGAGGGTTCCCTCACCCTCCCGATGGTGGGAACAAACCCACCAGGGTGATGGGGCAAATGGGGCCACAGCACCCTAAAAGGGGCATGATGGCCTGGAGGAAGCACTTCTCCCTCCGCCCCTCACACGCGCTGGCCCGTCTTGTCGTTCCTCATCCCTTTCCCCACCGCTCTCCTGCCGTTCCTCTCTGCTAGAAGGCGGACAAAGCTGCCTTGGGCAGCAAAGTCAATTGCAGCCAATTTGAAGCACATATGGAGCGTCTGGATAAGAGGATGCAGGAATTGCAGAGCCAGATTTCAGGCCAGGAGGAGCACTGGAACAATATGCAGCAGCAGCTCAGCTGTGTGGTGGAAGAAAAGGTGAGGAGTACCTTGTCCCCAAAATAAAAAACTGGCACCTTTGGGACTCGACTGCCTCAGGCAGCATCCCTCTGAGGATCCCCCTCCAGGCTCTTTCCTGGAGAGATCCATGTCACATCCCGGGGCAGCTGGCTGAGGCTTTGCACCTACTCACAGCTGGGTCGCCTGGAGCTGAAGGCTTTCAGCTCCCAGATGGAGGAGACATGGAACAGGAACATAGAGGAACTTGAGAACAGGCTGTTGCGTGAAAACGCTGCTGGGATCAAGAAGTGAGTGTGATGCAGATTCTGAAGGCTTTGGGGACAGTAACGGTCCCATTCCCTCCAGCTGTCCCTCGCACTCCCCGTGTGCTCCCCTGCCTTGGGACCAATTCAGCTGCTCAATGAACCATGGGGATGCTGATGAAGTAGCTGCACCTTCTCCTTCCACCAGCAGCAGGTTCCACACAGGAAAGAAGGCACGAGGACAGGGCACCTGCAGTACAGTGCCCTCCAAAAGGAAAAACCTGGCTGTGGGTGCAAAGGCTCCCAGAAGCCAGGGTGGGAGATGGCAACTGCTCCTCCCAGGCAGGGCTGTGGGACGCAGGGTCCCAGAGCTGGGTCATGCCCTGCCCTCCTGGCTGTGCACACAGGGGACTTTGGTGCCAGAGAGGGGCTGAAAGCGCTGCAGGGGCTGCTTGGGGTGGTGACATGGGTGCCTGTGCCCTTCAGCTGGCAGCAGTCAGCACGCTGGGGATGGGGAGAAACAGGCTCAAGAGCCCACGGTTCAGCCTGCAAACGCTGTGACCCTGTGCAGTGACCTGCCCGGCACCCGGCTGCTGCCAGCTGCTGCTGCCTGTGTGTGGGCAGGGCTGTGGCCCCAGGAGCTCCCCCAGCCCTCTTCTCTCACCCTCCTTAGGCAGCTGCCAGTCCCTTTCACGTGCCTGTCCTGTGACCGCATGCTCACCGTGCAGGTCCCTGGCCAGTGAGTAGCACCAGTGCATCGGGGGCAGCGGGGCTGGGATGGGGGGAGATGGGTGCCAGCAGTGACCGCTGTGCTGGGCACAGGGTGACAGGGTCTGCTTGGGAGGCCCTGATGTGGGGAGCCCCCTCTGCAGCCCTGCCAGCAGCAGGGGTGTGGGCACTCATCCCAAGGCCTACAGGCAGCGGGGTACCATGGGGTACAATCCTCTGGGTTTGGGGGTGCTGCCTCCAACAGGAACAGGTTGTTTGTCCCCTGTCACACAGCTGTGACTCCTGCCCTCCCCAGGTACCCCGAGACACTCCCGTATTTGCCGCCGCTGCCCCCCAGCAAGGAGCCACCGCACAGCCAAAGGTAAGGGCCCTGAGGACACATGCCCAGCTCCCGGGGTGCAGGCTAGCCCTGACACAGCAAGGAGGGCTCTTGCCTGGCCTGGGACAGAGGAGCTGGGGGGGGTGGGAAGGGCCGGGGAGCAGAAGGCAGCTGTCTAGGGCCAATGCTTGCCCCAGGTCTGGGGAGTTCTGCAGTCCCCCTGTTGCACTGCCATGTCTGGCCCACCTCTCTGTCCTAAGGTTGCTGAACGCACATCTGATGAGCTGTGTCTTCCTTCAATCTGAGCTCAGGCTTGGTGGGCAGTTGTGTGTCTCCTGTGAAAGTAGTTCCCAAAACCCAGCCCTGCCAAGAGCAGTAGAGTGGCACAGTAGGGTGAAGCCCAGGATGCCACAGGGCTGGGCAATGAGTGTCTTCTGCCCTGTCCCACAGGAGGCCGGTGGCCCATGGCAGGTTTCCCCGTGTGCCACAGAGCTCTGGGGACCATCAGAGCAGCAGCTCCATGGTGCAGAACATCAGGGCTTCCCTACAGAGAAGCAGTCAGCAACAGGCCTTCTTGACAGTCCAGAAAAAGGTAGGAATGATGAAAGTGTGGACACAGAATGATGACTGAGGCTTGATGGCATTGCTGACTATCCAGAGGGAATCTGTGCCTTCAGTCCCCAGGGAGACCTGGATTGGGAGGATTATTAGGGGATGCTGGATTGGTTGGGCCCAGCATTTCAGCTTGTTGCCCTCTCCTCCTCAGCCCAATGTGACCCAGCTGCTGGACAGTGATGGACACATCTCAAGGGGCCGTAATGACCAGCATCCTACAGCGATCAGGACACAGGATGCATCAGGTATGGCCCTGTTAGGGCATGGGGGTCAACAAGGACAGGGGGCTGATTATCTGTGGGGTACCGGCTGGGGGATGAGCTCTGTGTGCAGAACTGGGCAGGTTGGGATGGGGCTTGGGGCTCTGACCTGCTTTGGAAGGGGCAGAAGCAGAATGGAGGAGAAGGACTGGCTCATGGGGCAGCTGAGCTTGGCTCCAGCCAGGGGCAGTCCCTGGCAATGAGGGACTCACCCTTGGCCTTCAACCCCCAGGCCCTGCCGCCTCACGAGGGCCCCGGCCAAGCACAGCCCCCCGACACATCTCAAGTGCACCAGGGCTCGTCCAGCCTCTCCAGCCCCTCCGGACATCCACAGCCCCCAGCCAGCTGGAAAGGACTCAGCGCCCAGTGTTCGATCTGGGACATCTCGTCAGAAGCGGGAAACGCCTGTGACACTGCTGTGTGGAAACATGATGTTTTAGTTGTATTTAATTGTAGTATTTAGTTGTATTTAGTTGTATTATAAGTTAATAAAACCCCTTAAACTGTGGGCAGAGCCTTGTCTCAGCAGCCTGTCTCTTCCCCGGGCTCCCTGATGCTCCTTAAGCTCCTGGCCCCCGCTGTGGCCGGGCCCCCAGGCCGAGCAGACGGAGCCCTGGGCCAGGCCCTGAGGCTGCTGCTGGTCCCGCGGCGCCCGCGGGGCAGCTCTGACAGCCGGGCCCGCTGGGGCAGCAGGAGCAGCGCTGCACAGCCCGCGGCCCTGCCGGGCTGGGCGGCCTCGGGCAGATCCCCGTGGGGCCCGGCTGGCACTGCCGGCGCTGCTGCTCTCGCCTGCCGCCTGAAATCCTCACAGGCAGCCCTGGCGCCGACTCAGGAGCCGCTTGCAGCCGTGCCCCACGGCCGGCCCCGAGCCCCGGCGCCCAAGTGCCCTCGTCCCTTCATCTCTGCACGGGGAGGCTGCAAGCTCAGTTGTCAGCTTCCTCCTCCTCTTCCTCGTTGAGGGCCGGCCTGAGGGGCTGGCCCAGCACAGCCTGGCAGCCCCTTGCCCACAGCTCCTGTCAGGAGCCAGAGCTGCTTCCAGCCAGGCACCCCCGGCTGTCCCGCAGCCTGGGGCCGATCCTGCCCAGTGCCGGGATGCCCTGCGAGGCAGCTCGGCCATCCCGGCAAAGAGGGGGAACGCAGCGGGACACGGGGGACACACGGGGACACACACCGGCACCGCTTCCCCCGTGTCCCCATTCCCGCCGAGCAGCCCCGTGTGCTGGGCGCTGGGCGGATCCGAGCACAGGGGAAAGTCTGTGCTGTGACAGAGAAAGCGCAGCTGTGTGGGAAAAGTCACTGTCCCAGAGTTTATGCCCAAAAGGGTGACTGAGAAGTGCTGTAACCATATTCAAAGAAAGTGAGAGGCCACAGGGTGGTTCCCACGGGGACTCACAAATTGTTGGAGGATGCAGCCCACTTTTAGTCCTAATTTCCCAGACACATCACTCTCTTCCTCATTGGCTGAGGCGCCCGTACAGACTTCGCAAATCGCCTGCTCTGTTTTCCACTCTACTGTGCACTTTCCCCCTCCCCGCTTTTATTTTTCTTTCTATAATAAAACACTATTCATATTGAATCTTTGGGGTTTTTTTTTTCTGTAAATTCAGCAATTTAACACAGCCTTGGCTTAGGTAAAGTCCATGTCAATTAGTACCATTTTCCAGAACTGATAATTTCTTCCATTACTTCCCTATCTCTAAATCGCTGGCCCTATCTACAAGTAGATTCAGAGAGTGTGTTTGTAAAGACACATTCATTTTATACCTTTCACAGGGATGCTCCTCACATGGTTTTTTAGCTCTAAAACCTTGCTGAAAGCATTGCAAATTATGCAAAAGTGGCAGTTATGTAATAGTCAGTAGAACCTTGAGGGCTCAATGTGAAAAACGCCAATCACGTGGTTTTTAAAATTTTAAAAGTTTCATAATAATAAAATGCTTATAAAAATAGTAATACAATCAGAGTAATTAGAGTTAGGACAAATACAAGACAATAAAAAGCAAAGACTTACAGACGTCTGGATGCTCTTGGGCACTTAATACACTGTTGCATATTCATATATACTTCATGGTTATGCATACATTCTATTTAAAACAAGAAACTCTGTTATATTTCAACTGCTTCTTTTAATCCCCATGGCATCTTCAAGTCTGAGCAAGGCCTGAAGAAATTAGCTTCTTCTGATAAGAAAACCATAAAGTCTTCTTCTTTGGATGATTTACGTGTTCTGTGACAGTTATCTCGCAGCGAGTATCTCATGCCTTTAAAAAAAAAAAACACATACGTAGTTTCTACTGTAACTACTAAAGCTTCACTTTAACTACAAAACTACATTTGCCATACTATTAGGATGCTAATACAGCACTGAAATTAACAGGACGGAGCTCACCCCTGCTGTTGTAGCTTTTTTTCAGGAAGCCTGAATGGGGAGAAGGCATGCAGAGTCTGTCCCTGAGGTCTTCCTGGCACACTGGTAGCCAAAGGGTGAGGGGGCAAACCAGGGTCTGTTGCTGAAGTCCAGCAGCAGCTGTTACCTCTCCTCTTGGTAACACCAGGAAGAGCTGCTTCTTTGTTCCTGCTTCCCACAGCCCAGTCCAGTCCTCTGGAGGCTATGGTGACAGGTCAGACATAGACAGGGATGTGGTTCCCTTTTCCCCAGCCAGAGCACCCGTCCAGTCCCCTCCACTGTGCCCAGCCTTCAATGAAGTGGTATTTTCATCCCCAAAACCCCCTCCCAAGATTCCAGTGGTCCCTCTATTTTGCACCCCAGTCCTAGAATGGCAGTGTGGGTGCGGGGTGTAGGTGATCCCCAGGAGCAATTAACTAATTAACATATCAATATCAGTACTCAGCTCAAGCCAGCAGTGTCCAGTATTGCCATGCAAACCAGGAAGGCTCTTTTGCTCCTAACAAGCAGCAGCCTCAGGGCCTGGCCCAGGGCTCCTTCTGCTCAGCCAGGTGGCCCAGCCACAGCGGGAGGGCCAGGAGTTCAAGGAACATCAGAGAGCATGGGGTGGGGTGGGGGGGGAAGAGGCAGGCTGCAGAGACAAGGCTCTGCCTACAGTTTTAAGGGGTTTTATTAACTTAATACAACTAAAACATCATGTTTCCCAACAGTAGTGTCACAGGCGTTTCTCGCTTCTGACGAGATGTCCCAGATCGAGCACTGGGCGCTGAGTCCTTTCCAGCTGGCTGGGGGCTGTGGATGTCCGGAGGGGCTGGAGAGGCTGGATGAGCCCTGGTGCACTTGAGATGTGTCGGGGCGCTGTGCTTGGCCGGGGCCCTCGTGAGGCGGCAGAGCCTGGGGGTTGAAGGCCAAGGGTGAGCTGGCCCCCCCACCAGTACTCAAGCTCTTGTCCCACACTGGACTGGAGGAGAGGGCAACAAGCTGAAATGCTGGGCCCAACCAATCCAGCATCCCCTAATAATCCTCCCAATCCAGGTCTCCCTGGGGACTGAAGGCACAGATTCACCCTGGATAGTCAGCAATGCCATCAAGCCTCAGTCATCATTCTGTGTCCCCACCTTCATCCTCACTACCTTGTTGTGGTGATGTTGCAGCTGTGCACTTGTATGTAGGGAAGCCCTGATGTTCTGCGTTGTGGAGCTGCTGTTCTGATGGTCCCCTGAGCTCGGTGGCACACGGGGGAACCTGCCATGGGCCATCGGCCTCCTGTGGGATGGGGCAGAGGACACTCAGAGCCCAGCCCTGTGGCATCCTGGGCTGCACCCTGCTGTGCCAGGGAGGGGACAGCAGTGCTGCCTGCAGGGGCATGTCCCTCCCAGCTCCTGTCCACCTGCTGCAGGAGCCCCAAGCAGGAAGCAAAAGCCTGTGCCACACCGGGAAAAGCCCTCCTTGCTGTGTCAGGGCTAGCCTGCACCCCGGGAGCTGGGCATGTGTCCTCAGGGGCCTTACCTTTGGCTGTGCGGTGGCTCCTTGCTGGGGGGCAGCGGCGGCAAATACGGGAGTGTCTCGGGGTACCTGGGGAGGGCAGGAGTCACAGCTGTGTGACAGGGGACAAACAACCTGTTCCTGTTGGAGGCAGCACCCCCAAACCCAGAGGATTGTACCCCATGCTACCCCGCTGCCTGTAGGCCTTGGGATGAGTGCCCACACCCCTGCTGCTGGCAGGGCTGCAGAGGGGGCTCCCCACATCAGGGCCTCCCAAGCAGACCCTGTCACCCTGTGCCCAGCACAGCGGTCACTGCTGGCACCCATCTCCCCCCATCCCAGCCCCGCTGCCCCCGATGCACTGGTGCTACTCACTGGCCAGGGACCTGCACGGTGAGCATGCGGTCACAGGACAGGCACGTGAAAGGGACTGGCAGCTGCCTAAGGAGGGTGAGAGAAGAGGGCTGGGGGAGCTCCTGGGGCCACAGCCCTGCCCGCACACAGGCAGCAGCGGCTGGCAGCAGCCGGGTGCCGGGCAGGTCACTGCACAGGGTCACAGCGTTTGCAGGCTGAACCGTGGGCTCTTGAGCCTGTTTCTCCCCATCCCCAGCGTGCTGGCTGCTGCCAGCTGAAGGGCACAGGCACCCATGTCACCATCCCAAGCAGCCCCTGCAGCGCTTTCAGCCCCTCTCTGGCACCAAAGTCCCCTGTGTGCATGGCCAGGAGGGCAGGGCACGACCCAGCTCTGGGACCCTGCGTCCCACAGCCCTGCCTGGGAGGAGCAGTTGCCATCTCCCACCCTGGCTTCTGGGAGCCTTTGCACCCACAGCCAGGTTTTTCCTTTTGGAGGGCACTGTCCTGCAGGTGCCCTGTCCTTGTGCCTCCTTTCCTGTGTGGAACCTGCTGCTGGTGGAAGGAGAAGGTGCAGCTACTTCATCAGCATCCCCATGGTTCATTGAGCAGCTGAATTGGTCCCAAGGCAGGGGAGCACACGGGGAGCGTGTCGGCCAGCTGGAGGGAATGGAACCATTGCTTTTCCTAAAGCCTTCAGAATCTGCATCACACTCACTTCTTAATCCCAGCAGCGTTTTCATGCAACAGCCTGTTCTCAAGTTCCTCCATGTTCCTGTTCCAGGCCTCGTCCAGGTGCTTACGGAAAGCCTTCAGCTCCTGGCGACCCAGCTGTGAACAGGTGCACAGCCTCAGCCAGCTGCCCCGGGATGTGACATGGAGCTCTCCAGGGAAAAGCCTGGAGGGGGATCCTCAGAGGGATGCTGCCTCAGGCTGTCGAGTCCCAAAGGTGCCAGTTTGTCGTTTCGGGGATGAGGAACCCCTCACCTTCTCTTCAATTGCATCGCTGAACTGACGCTGCATATTGTTCCAGTGCTCCTCCTGGCCTGAAATCTGGCTCTGCAACTCCTGCATCCTCTCATCCAGCTCTTCCATGTTCTCTTCAAATTGGCTGCAATTGACTTTGCTGCCCAAGGCAGCTTTGTCTGCCTTCTAGCAGAGGGGAATG